GGGGGGGGGGGGGGGGGGACCGAGGTAAAACTAGACAGACACTAGACAGACAGTATTTGCTGGTTGATGCAATTCATAATCGCTTGAGGGGAATTCGAATACTCCTTGTGCCTACAAGAGCTCAGGTGAAAGCACAAGCCACGTGATTACAATCTAAACAAAAATTCAAGTGTCCCTCCCTGTACAAGGTCGCAGCACGACCCCGGTCGCTCCGTAACAGGTCGCCCAAATCGCATGACCCTGTCTAGGGATCACTACAACCGACACAAGATATAGAGGTGTACACTTGCATTTGTCGCTTGTACGTTTGCGCGGCCCAGCAACAGATGTTTCCGCACATTTTACGCCAGACTCAACAAGTGTACCAGCAAAACGTCATCTCAAACGAAATTGACAGAAAACAAATCCTCCGGAGTTGACGCACAAGTCGTTGTAGTCGTAGATCACCAAAACGCAACCAAAAGTCACCCTCACCAGTATTCTCGCCCTTGCTCGCTCCCCCCCGGTTGCCGCCGCAGAGCGCCAGGTACGGCGCCCACGGGGGCCACCGCTGCCCCTCCCCCCCGCCCCTCCCTACTGCCGCCGCAGTCGCGGCCCCCCCCGCCTGTCGATGGCTTCCCCCCTTCGCCGCCGCGGGCCCTTTCCCAGCAGCAGCAGCGGTGGCAACAGCCCCCCCCTTGAAAAACGCCTCTTCGAAGTGCTTGTCGACGTCCAGTTCGACCCCGAGCTCGCAGAGAGACTGGATGTTGACCCACAGGAGTGGGTCTAGCTCCAGGCTCAGGCGGAAGTAGTGCTCCGCGCTCTCCCGGCGCCCGGCGCCCTGACACGCAAGGCCTGTGACGCGCGCACCGGGACGGATCGTCGATAGGTTATTTGCCGGGACGGTTCAAGGCATATGGGACGGTGTGACCCAATGTGGATCGATTGTGCTACATGCTTGAGGCAAGATTTCACAGCCTGTACAACTTACACAAATAACTAAGTTAGTTGTTTGCCAGACAACTATCGGCTAGTTGTTCGTAAACACCTAGTGGCGCGCGCTCCTGGAAGAGTAGTCATCTACAGGCAACTAGGTGCGCACGCTCCTGAAACAGTAGTCATCTACAGGCAACTAGGTGCGCACACTCCTTGAAGAGTAGGTGTCTGCAGGCAACAAGGTGTGTGTGTGTGTTTTCGTCCTATTTATTATGGCTACAGTCCCCCCATTTTTCGTGATGAGACGTGTACTACACTTTTCAGCGTATGTAGAGTACACTTTTCAGTGTATATTTTCGTACAACTACAACCATCCAGGGTCACACAGGAGGGGGTCAACACCAGGGCATTTTTCTTCTTTTTATTTATTTTCATGCCCCACCTTCCTGCGGTGCGTGCTGAATTTTATTTTTATCGCGAAAAGGGTCCAGCCGTCCCTTTCCCTCGTCAACGGTGCTAACGTCGAAGTTTGGTATTCACGAGAGCTTTTTAGCTAGGTGTGCAAGATTTATATCACCGTGAACAATTGGTCGACCGATGGTTGTAAGCCATGTAAAAAACATGGGAAAAAGATATGCATCATCCGTGAATCGAACACGGGTCGCGTGAATGGCAATCACGCATTCTACCACTGAACCAATGATGCTGCCCCATGGTACGCGACGTGCGAGTTTCGTTCCTGAAGGAAGCAAACTGCTCGCTGTGCAAGTGAATGGTCTGCCGAGGTATCATTAATATCAACACAATGATGTGAGCGCAAAAGACGATCAAGTGTTGTTATAGTAAGGTACAGCACGATGTAGCGCAACACCCGTTGAATATTTCGTGCAACGGCAAAAGTACAAGTACCAAGCATGATGACACAGCAGTGCAAAGTCGATCGCCCGCTGTTGCTGCGATGAGATCTGACGCCAAAGCAAAATATCGCGCGGTTTTGGCACACGGAAGGTCGTGCGGGGTGCGGGGTTCGTGTTGGAGGCGAGGGGGAGGCGGCCCGGAGGGGGCGTGTTGGCCGAACCTCGATTGGACCCCCCAAAAAAAGTTAAGGGGGGCTGGGGCGGGGGGGNGGGGGGGGGGGGGGGGGGGGGGGGGGGGGGGGGGGGGGGGGGGGGGGGGGGGGGGGGCAAGGTGTATTAATTAGCACGGTCACCGCCGTGTTGTTATTCTCCTCACAACAAAAATCCCAGGCGTAAGAAACGCCTATGAAGAAAAGTACGACAAGTAAGTTTCAGGGGAGGGGAGAGGAGTCTGCTCACTGGGGTGCCGGAGGGAGACGGCGACACGATTGGGGAAAACAGCGTACACCACACACAACACTGAACTAAGACGGAAGATTTGAGCAGCGACAACAACAACGACGGCAAACATAGGCTAAAACAGACTCATGATAAGCCCAGCATCCAGCTGATTTTTTTCCCACCGACTGTCGTGACTTCATTCAACACACTCTTTTCGACTAGTATCTCGAATGGCAAGTATTTTCTGTGATTGCATTTGAATGCAAAAAGCGTTTCAAAAGGTTAAGCGCAACTACTGCAGTATATACGACAGACTTCAGCAACCGCAGCAGCCGCAGCAACAAAAGCAACAACCCTCTCACCCAGAAGCCTGAGGCCGGCGGCACCGTGAGGGATGGGACAAGGCTCGGCCAGGATCTCGTCGCGGCCCTCCTTGGGGCCCTTGTGAAAGATGCCGGTCCCCTCCAGCAAAACACGCTCGGCCTCGGCGAACTTGCCCAGGTCAATGCAGCAGTAGGCCAGCAGGAACCTGCAGCAGCCGCAGCAGCAGCAGCCACAAGACACCCGGGTGTGTCGATAATGAGGAGCGGTTGGGAATACAGCGAGAGTGGCGGCGTTCGTGATGGACTTCGTGTTTTTTGCCCCGGGGTTTGGGGTCTTATTTCCCTCTAGTGCGCTACAAAAAAAACAAGTGTAGATCCTTACCCGGACTCACAAGTTGTGCTCAAGTTATTCGTTTTGATATCATGTTGAGCATTAAGTTCCGAGGATTGGAGTTTTATTTCGTCGGTCCCACCTTTGATCATTTCTAGAAAGGTGTGCCCCCTTATTGGGGTACATGCACTACTGTGCTGTAGTTGGCGTTGTGACCACGGAAGGCGTCCGCGTCAGTTGGACCAGTGCGGACATTGGAGGGTACTGGGCGGAGACTGGAACGGTTTAATACGTGAAGAATACAACAAGAATTACAACAACAACACCTAGAGTCACTCATTGGTTCAGGTTTCCGCTGGGATTGGCCGCAGGCTACGGCCGAGCAACGACATCCAAGATCTCCAACGTTGATACATGCATTGTGACAAGGTTGAACCTTGACCGTTCTTTCCCATAATATACTTGCAAGGCAGCATCTCTCTGTATCGACAACATAAACCGCCCGCTGCTGTTGTAATCACGCGTTCCCGCCCCCACACAGCGAAGCTTCTGCTCACATACGGAGTATTGCAGAAGGCTAGACAAGCTACTGCTTGTTCAACCTGTGCATACTTGTCTACAGATGGACGAACATTCGCAAGGGCAGTAAAGAACCACTTTTCAGCAGCACACATATACTATCGGGGTGTCTACACGGATAGCGTTTGATAACAGCAGTGGTCGTGGCGATTTGCTCGGCAGTTGGAGTTGGCTTTTGCACTTCCTGCAGCAGCGATCGAAGTCCTTGCTTGAGTGTTACCACTGCACCCCGCTGCTGCTGTATTCGCCAAACCCCAACCCCTACAGTAGCCTACCGGGTACACGCCGTACGTTTTTTTCCAACGATGCAACTGGCGGTCGACATATACACACACGGTCGATCATTAACACAAAATGGCGTGGTATCACGGCTGCTGTCCAGCGGAGGCGAAGCACGACCTGAGCTGCTGCGGGCATCGCAAAGCGCCCACAGCAGTTTCCCCCCCAAACGAAATCAATGCCATGGCGCTGCTCCCATTGTTGTTATCCTCCTCCGCCAAGGGAGAACAGTGCCTCTCTATGTGTGTGTTCGTGCTGCACACTTGACCAAAATAACACCCACCAACACACGGCCCCAACAGCTCGCTCATGTTTTCTCCTATCATGACAACCCCCCACCTGCTCTCGGGAAGGCGGCAGCCCTGCAGCAACGCGTGCGCCGTCAGCTTTGACTTGTTCATAAGGTGGCAGGTGGCCAGGAGCAGCACGTTCTCCTCCCTGGGGTTGCAAGCCACAAGACGTTCGCCCAGGAACGTGGCGTTGGCGTGCATCAGGTTCTCGAGGTAGTACTGCACCAGCGACCGCAGGGAGTCCTCCATCTCGGCGGCTGCGGCGCTGGAATCGTCGTTGGCGTCTACCGCCATGTGTCGGCCGTTGCTGTTGTCAGGCCGCAGCAGTAGCGAGCAGCGCCGTTTTGAATTGTCAGTTGATGAATCACACCAACAGGGCGGGTACAGATGCTTGTTCACTCGGTTGGGTGGGAACAACCCAGTCACGTTAGGGATGAACTCAAGCAGGCACCACTGCGATGGCTTCGTGAAAGCCACACAGTGCACAGCAGCCAGAAGGCACACCCGCTTGCGTCACGTGTGAGTTCTGAGCTGCACCTCGCCTGCAGCTGAGTTGTCCTCTCTTTCTCTGGCTCAGGGCCCATAGGTAGGGCTAGGCGGGGACGTATTATATAAATTTTCACGCGAAGCGCGAAAAAACTTGAAGAGGCGTTTCCCGGTCGGGCTGTTTTTTGGCTGTTTTATTCCACCTCTCTCTGGTATCGCTGGGGGCCCCGCAGTTTCCAACTTTCGTTTTCACGGAGGGATGGGGATTCCGTAATGAGAGCTGAGTACATAGTCAGAGACTTGAGAGCGGATGCGCACTTCTGAGAGTGGCGGCGCTGGACGATGGTAGCGATAGCACCTGCCAAGGGGGCCAGAGCTCCAGAGAAGGGTTCATTTCCACTTGACCATGGCGGCGAGTGCAAGCCGCACATGAAGGTATGAACCCCGAACGCGAATGTACTCGTGAGGTGCGCTCGCTCGCTACATGTAAAACTCGGAGCCGGCTGAGGTGCTCCTGCCATGTTCGGCCAATGTAGTATGGGCGTATTGACATCGACGACGCATGCAATGCGGATTCTCGAAGTGCTGAAGACGCTCTGATCAAGCGCAAGAAAATAGTTCGGATATCAGCATGATGTGTCGGGATTATTAGGGAAACATGGTTCAGCGTATTGCGGTGGGATCGCGGAGAATGTTGAACTTCGGCCCGAGCGGCAACGATGCAATAACGCCGCAGTAGCACACACAGCACGAGGGTTCGGTTCCGGATAGCTTTATAACAGTTCGCAGTTCGCAACAGCCTGTGTCTAAGCCTGTACGCCCATGCGTTCTTCTCAACCAGCTCTTTCTCTCCGTACATGTGCGTGCGCTTTTCGACAATGTTGTGCACGCAGCAAGAAGCAGTCGGGGTCGTAGTGCGTAACAAACAGACGCGCCAGTGCTCTCACGCTGACCGCTTGCTGCTGAACAGACCCCGCGCAGGTACAGAGTACCAAGACATATGCATACGATGCATGTTCGCACGCATGCGTATTATGCCGCCCTTTGTGTATTCTTGCGCAAATCACTGTCAACTCTCTGTGCAACACAAAGGTCCAATACCATTTGGTTCGTAATCGTTTCTGTGTGAGACGCAAGCATGATCCCACCTGTTCCTACACACAATAGTAGCATGCAGGCTGCCACAAGACATACTCCCTCGTCATATTCTCGCCTGTTCGCTGCTCACACCCCTGTTTAGGATCATGTTGGAATTAGTACAGGAGGGCCCGTCCAGGATGAAACATGTGTGCTCCTTGCCCCTAGCCCGGGGATAGCAGTCAAACGTCCCCGGATCAAAACAAATACAGAAAGCCCACCCCCTTTCCTCGCGTTTGCCCTTGTATGTTTTGGGGGCGAAACGTATTGGATTTGCAGCTCGCGAGTCGTGTTGTTGCCCAGGGTGGGGGGGGTCGACCAACGACTGCTGTAGTACACAGCAAACCGGCTTGGACGACACCCGATGCGCCAAAGTGAACTCTGGTTTGTCGGTCAAACCACAAACACTTTTAATCTTGAAACTTGGAGGCGTGCCAAATTAACTAGCCATAACCCACCCCGCCCCTGCCTCTTCCTGTCTGTCTGTCTGTCTGTCTGTCTGTCTGCCTGTGTGTCTCTCTCTGTCTTTGTCTGCCTGTCTTTCTCTCTGCTTGTGTTTGTCTCTCTCCCTTTTCTGCCGGTCTCTCTATCTCTCCCTCGCGCTCCTAACCTTCCCGCGCGTTCAACCGCCCCTCCTCCGTGCATCATATTTTCACCCTCTCGGCTTTCGGCTATGCGTAACACGTTTTGGCCGGCACAGGCCTTCCTCGCCTGCCTCAAGAAACACGACAGCGACCACCTCCCGTGCAAAAGCCTGTCGAAGCTCTACCTTGCCTGCCGAATGGACAGGTGGGGGCTTAGACGCCATTTGTTGATGGGGCTTGGCGGGTGCGGTGGCAGCACGAGAGGGAGAGCCCATGAGCTATAAAAGTGCAGTCGCCGGTAGATTCGACGGACGGTGTGTCAAAAACAACGTGGAGCTCACGCGTTGAGAGGGGGGGTCAGGCTAGAACCGCGAAGAATGGCACCCAACGAAAGAGAGCCGTGGGGTATGCAAGGTTCAGAACGCGGCTGTCATGCGTACGACTATGAAGTAGGTGCCCCCTTTGCTTGACTTCCATTCCTGGTGTGTCTAGTGTCTAGGGCGTCGACTACAATGCACCACAGCAGTGGAGCGCGCGTGCAGCAGAAGCCAAGCCCCGCTATTCCCGTGGGTATGCGTGTGTCGTTGGAAAGGGCAGCAGCACCGATGCTATCACGTGACGGCTCTCTGTAATTTTCACGCCTCAGCCCCAGCCTCGTCTCCTGGCCCTTCCCCCACGGCGTTGGTTGTAGTTGTGGTTGGTTTGACTTGTGCTTTGCTTTGGTGTGTTGTCGTGTTTCGTTTGCTTGGGTGTTACAGCTGCGGTTTTCATGACTCGGGCTAACGTGCGTCCCTTCCCTCTTTCATTTCGGTCGCGCGCGTGCTTGCACTTTTTGTTGTTGCACACGGCGCACGCACGTACACGAGAAAATGCCCTGTTATGGGTACTATTCGCACGTATTACTAATTAGAGGGCGGTGTGGCAAAGGACCTCGACCCATTAATGTCGGAGCCTCCTCTTGACATGTACCCTCTTGTATCGGAGACCCTCTTACAACGTGCCCTCTTCTATCGGAGCCCGCTCGACATAAAGGCGTACCCAATCATACCACAGCGGGTCGAGTCCGTGACAAACGATGTTGGGCCCCTTAGATTCGGAGCCTCCTCTTGTAGCGTACCCTTTCATATCGGTCCCCCTTCGTACATTGTACCCTTGTTTGTCTAAGCCCTCTCTCTTTTGGTGTCGTCTTATATCGGGGCCACGACTGCCTGTACGTAAAACATGTGTAGGAACTTGATGGCGCGGGAGGAGTTCGAGAAGCTCGGCTTCAGCACGGAGGAGGAGTACGAGCGAATACGGAGGCAGGCCCCCGTCAAGGAGGGTACGAAGGAAGGTGAGCGCGCGGCCTTTCCTCTGCTTGCCTTTGTCTCGAGGGCTTGCCTCTGCGTCGAGCGTGCCTCCCTGTCTCTCGAGTCGCCCAGTTGCTCGCTACCCGCTGTTGCGTCTGGTGGCATGGCAAGTGGGCTGATTCAGCGGGAAGAGGTGTAGATAGGGCAGGGAAAACAGTTTAGAGCCACCCTTGGCAAAGTAGCAAGGGACAGATTGGCCATCACCGGTTATTCGGTATTGCTAGGAGCGACCCTGTCCTCTCGAGGACGCGCGGCCAATGGTCTAACCGCTAAGGCGTGCAAGATTTGAGTAATTGTACCCCCGCTGCTGCGTCGAGGCCTTGTCCCGGAGGTTCCCAGTGATGATGAGAAAGGACGGAGGGTCACTCGAAGCTTCGTTGTCAAGTGTCGAAATCGGGTTGTTTGGTTTTGCCTGAATTCGCATGCAGGCGTTGGGAAGAGTTCAGTTTTTTTTTTTTTTTCGTTTTTGCTTGAAGAAATCAAAGACTCCTTTTCACGGCTGTGTGGCCCAGGCTGGTGCGTTCAGAAGAAGAATGCCGGAAAGCTGTCAAAAAGTGGCTGGTCCAGACTAAAGGAGGCCTTACACACACACATACACAAACACCTCGTGAACGTTTTTCCAGACAAGTTTTTACACTTCCTTTTCAGTCGACGTTCGAATGACCCTTTCTCTTGTTTCATTGTCGCACTCTCATGCACTCAACACTGGGACCGATGAGCAGGGGCCGCGTTTTCCTGTTCGATCACACTCACAGTCACGCTCACACTAACAGTCACGCTCACACTCACACTCACACTCACGCTCACACTCACACTCACGCTCACACCGCATGGTACCTTTGGTGGCATACATTTTTTTTTTTTTTCTCCCATAATTGGATTCTGTCGTCTGCCCCTCTGGCCCCTGTCCTCCACTTCTACTAGCTAGACGACCCAACCGGGGTCACACGGGAGGGGGGAGTTGGACCCCCTCCTGCGGTTCCTGCCTGAGGTATTGTTCTCGCGAGGAGGGTACAGCAATCCCTTCCCTCGCGACTTATGAAGTCGATCAAGTTTACTAACAACGCGCTTTGCAGCGCATCGCTTCCAACGGAGACCAGGATTTAATTAGTGAGAAAAAGCTCGCTCGGTTGGGACTCGAACCCATGACCTGGCCCTTAGCAGGCTGCGGGTATACCCACTAGACCACCGGGGCGACCGGTGGTATTGTAAAGGGATGTCTCCCCTTGCGATGCGAATCCCAGTGGTGTTCTTCCTCGTCGATCAAACAAGACAAGCGAACTTGTAAATATTGACATTGTGTACTATTAATATATGCCAGGGAGAGTACTCGTTCGTGAGCCAGCAGGTCCTCTCCCTAGCCCCCTCGGTGTGTGCGGCAATTTCACTGCATAGCGCCCCCCCCCCCCCCCCCCCCCCCCCCCCCCCCCCCCCCCCCCCCNTGCATAGCGCCCCCCCCCCCGTCCCCTCCCCCAAACAACCATCGCGCCCCCAACGTGCGCCCTCGCGCCAACATTACCGGTGGGCGCTTACGCCGCTCTGTTCTTTTGCGCTTTATTGTTATCCGTGTGTTTGTTCAGGGGAGGGCTTCGTGGGAGGGACCCATATTCGACAGCGAGGTGGCGGCTGGCTGTCCAACTGGAAGAAGAAGGATTAGTCTGCCGCTTTTTTAGAAAAAAAATCTGTATGCATAGATGTAGTAAATGTAACAGCGGTAATTGCACCTGTGTTCGGTGGGGGGGGGGCACGGAAAGGACTTGATGGTTGGTTGTGATCGTCGATGACAATTTTTCGCGCCTCCACTCTCGAGAGGAGGCAGAGCACCGTTGTATTTCCCTCCCGAAAGACGTCTCCAAACTTTGGAGGGGAATGGGAAGGGGAGGGGGTCGTTGTGCTGGTAGACTGCTGTCGCATCCTTACAAAGACGCGCCAGACAGAGAATGTGAAGTTTTCCGCTAGTCAAGTAAGCACGTTATGCGGGGGGGAGGGGGTGGGGTAGAGGCCACCCGTTGGATGTCGTGGGAGCACCTGAAGGTTGTGGACACCCTCTATGCTTCAATTTCTTCAGAGAACTTGCAAGATGTTGGCCACATTCGTTGACTGCTGGCGAATTTCTTGAGGATCATGGGCACCCGTCGGGTGAGGGGGAATGGGTTGAGCATGGTGCACGGGCAATAATATAGCAGGACGGCTCTAATATGGAATCGAGGATCCCATCGTAAGTGCGCTCGCTCCCCCAATTCTCGCCAAATCAGGATCTGACATGTGCATTTTTCGTGTGTTCCATCCTATCGCATTGTTGAGACCGAGGCCGGAGGCAACAAGAACTGGATATTTCCTCTTAGACGTACCTTCGGCGTGGTGTAGGCGACTCTTCCTCGCTCTCCCTCCCAGTTGGAGGGTGCTTGGAACAACACACCAATGCCAGACACCTGAGTCAAACGTTTCGTCTTTGATCGGAGCTTGGAACATCAGATGAATGCCAGGCACCCAAGCTGACACGCGTCGTCCTTGATGAGAGCCCGCTTGGAACAACAGGATTGCCAGACGCCCACACTTTGTTCATGATAAGCCCTTGGCACAACAGACGAATGTCGAAGGCATACAAGCCGAACGTTCGGTGACGCTCGAGAGAGTACAAAAACAACGTCGCGGATGAAGAATGTATGGTACAAAGGGTAGTTTTCTCTCTTGCACAGGAAAACTGAAGAAAACTCGATTCATCTGTCGAGACGGCGCATAATTAAAAAGAGAACAAAAATATTCCCGAACGCAGCTCAAAAAAACCCAGTCGATGAAGTCCCCCACCATTTCTCTCCCGTGCGTAAAATATCGCCGAAACGGGCACAAAACACCAGACATGCAAAAAACTTGCGCATATGCTGTGTAGTCGGGAATATGACCTACGGAGGGGCTGCCCGAGCAACAAAAGGTTCGCTTTCACGAGAAAAAACTACAAGTACCGGCGACCCACGGCGCTTCCTCTGCGAACCTCCCCCCCGACACCCGAACCCCCAAAATCAAACACGGAAATCCTACTCAAGTCAACCACTCTGATAAGTGTGGATACATCGCGGTTCCAACCCCCCCCCCCCCCCCCCCCCCCCCCCCCCCCCCCCCCCCCCCCCCCCCCCCC